TAAATATTTTCCACACTTCAGCCGAGGTGAGAAACAAGATTGAGATCAGCCTAACAGGCTGAACTATTCAAGAACACCGGGCCCTGTTAGTGCTGTTACATGGCAGTCACCCCAGACTGTTAAGAGAAGCAAGCAAAGAACTATCTTAGCCACTTTCTATCTTTTCAACTTGTTTTCGAAAGAGAGATGTTGGTCAAAGGAGTGGAAAGATGGTCAGGTAAGCCCAATCTAAGAAGGGGAAGAAAACTAATACAGTAAACTACCGCCTAGAATCCTGTCCTCAGTCGTTTGTCAAAGCAATAGAAAGCATCATTGGTTGAGCTTTCTCCAGCTTATGAGGCCGTTTTTAGCTTTCTTAGCGGTCGCTCAATCACTTACGCAGCTCTTGGATTGCGTTGGTGAATGGACAAGAGAGTTACGTGGGAGCAACACAGTTTACGATTATGAGGTGTTTTTGATTACGCTTTACTCCTAAAGCGTTTGATTCAGTGTCAGAACAGCATTTGCGGCGGAAACTGGAAGAATATGGCGTGCGAGAGGACATCCCTGAGTTTATCCGGGATACGTGCAATAGAAGACAAGTCGTCTTCACATGCGGTGAGTCGAGTTGGCGAGAAGTCTTAAGCTGAATAACCCAGAGTAGCTTTCTCGATCCCGTATTGTTCATCTGCTTTGTCAATGACGTGCCGGAAGTAGTTCGGAGACCGATTCGGTAGTTTGCAGACGACGTATAAATTTCTGCCCAAGTCGACACAGAAGAGGAAACCTGAAAGACATCCACTTCAGTCAGACCTGGATTCCCTCTAGCAGTGGGCTAACGAGTGGCAGCTTGAGTTGTTGTTGTTGTTGTTCGTTGCGACTGTCACGCTCGCCGGGGGGAGGCTCTGGTGGTAGGCGGAAGGCAGACACCGGAAAAGGGGGGAGATGGGCGAAGGCAGGGAGGGTGGCCAGGAAAGCCGCTGCCTCCACGGGGTTGTCCAACAGTGAGGAGACGCTGAGAGACGTGGGGAAGACGGGCAGGCAAAGAGGTGCTGAACGGACTGGAGAGGATCCCCGCACTCCGGACAAGCGTAGCTAGAGGAGCGTCCGATCCTGGAGAAATAGGACACTATGGAGCAGCAGTATCCCAAGCGGAGCTGGGATAGCTCCGAGCGGTAGGGGCGATGGAGTGAGGCCTCCTCCACTGATTGCAATCGGCGGGGGCGAGGCTGCGTGTATGGCGTTTATGGCGTCAGTCGCCGCAACGCGGGAGGCGATCTCCCTGCGGAGGGACCGCTTGGCCTCTCCGTAGGCACCGGCAGCCATCATGCCATTACCCAAGAATGGTGTGACCAGGTGACCGAACCTAGACTGGATGGAGGCTTTCATGGGGCGGTCCCCCGGGGGGAAACAGAAACGATAGGGAATGAGGTATGGGAGGGCTGGAGGGCGCTGGCGAGGAACTGGGCACAAGCCAGATCCAGATGCGCGGCTAATGGGAGGACGTCGGTCTCCTGGTGAAGATGGGAGATCGGGGCCATTTTGAGGCAGCCGGTTGCTAGTTTCAATGCAGTGTTTTGTATTATCTGCAGGCTGGCAACTGCTGTACGTGAGGCTACAGGGTACCAGATGGAGGCAGCGTAGTTGAGGGTTGGGCGCGTGATGGTTCGGTAGGTGGCAATAATGTCCTCTTGGAGAAGCCCCAGTTGGTAACAGCTAGGGCCCTGATTTCTGCCGCGTTTACGTCGTGGGGGTACCCTGGCCTGGGTCGCCTGCCGAAGACCACCACTGCCCTGGATGTAATGGACCATCATGATTCCTGCCTTCCGGAACGTAGCCTTCAACACTTCAAGTCGTCCGTATCTAGGCCGTGGGTCGAACCAGCCCTCGTTCGAACGGCCACTTGTCGAAGGACGATAAATTTTGGAACAGACTTATGCTGTCTGAAACCTAACCTTAGATGCGGTGAACGTAAAATTACGTAATTTATCGATGCCCGGAATTCATATTCGATCCGCGGCCTGGTGGTGCACGGCAGGTGGTGGTCAAGGCCGGAAGAGGACAAAGCCGAGTGGTGCACGGCTGATTGGTGTAGGTCCGGAGAGATCCAAGGCGTTCGATTCAGGGCTTATTGGTGCACAAAAGTGGTTGCGCACGGCTGCGCTCCCCCTGGCCTGCGCGTCGGCCGAATGCCCGGCATACTCGCGGATCAGGCCAAACGGCAGAGGCCCCCGGGGCCCCACCCGGATCGCTACCGGACGGAGGCAGCTTGAGTTAGCGAGTGGATGCTCTTCAACGCCAAATTACATTGGTAAGAGATCGCATGCAGGAAGCATTTGGGCGTTCACATGGATCGTTCCCTTAAATCAGTGGTTCCCAAAGTGGGCGATATCGCCCCCTAGGGGCGGTGGAAAGATTTTTGAGGGCGGTAAGGAAGAAGAGGGCGATAGAGGGGCGGCAGTCCGAAGTCGAAGTCAGAAGTTCAAGCGTTTGTTTGACGATTAGTACATAACACTTGCAGCACATGACTGCAAGTGTTGCAGCGATTATTTTTTCACCCAAATCTGTTTTTTTAACCTCTCCTTGGTTTACGTCTCGGACAAATTAACGGCCGGACTCGCGGCTGGTCTCACGGCCAATTTCTACGATCAAGGAATATCTCTCAAACAAATGAACTTAACTCGATGAAACTTGGTACACGTATTCATTAGGATCTAACGGTAATTTTTATCACGTGAATTTTTTTTAATTTTGCCTTCATTCGTGAGTTATACGGGAATACGAGCCATTATTCACAGTGATCAAGAAATTTCTTCCAAACTACTGAACAGATTCGAATCAAATTTCTAATTTACAGTCCTAACTACCGAACGGTAATGTTTAGCTCGTGAAAAATTGTTCGATTTTGCTGTCGTTCGCGAGTTTTTTTTTCATTTCACCTTCATTCGTGATTTAAGCAGCAATACGTGCTTAAATTCTCATTTTTTTCGATTTTACCTTCGTTTGCGAGTTATACGGCTATACGTATACGACTCATGGTTAAGCCGGCCGGTAGACCAGCAGGTCGTTTCTCCTATATCTGTATAACTTGATAACGAAAGCAAAATAGAAAAATTGTCCCGAGCTAAACAGCCTCGTTGGGAGGTTAGGTATTTATATACAAAGTTTCGTTGAAATCTGTTCAGTAGTTAAGAATAAATTTTTTGATCGCCGCGAATTTAAGCGACAAATTACCCGGCGATATGGGCCGAAAATATAAGGAAGTGTGAAATCAAGAATGACGGTGAAATGAAGACAATACTCGCAAACGAATGCAAAATCGAAGAAATTTTTAAAAGTTAAACAAAATAACAGCTAGTAGTTAGAAATGAATATTCAAAATTTCGTTCAAATCTGTTCAGTAGTTAGGAAGAAATTCTTTGATCACTGCGAATTTCGGCCTGTATCGCAATATAACTCACGAATGCAGGTGAAATTTAAAAAATTGTCACGAGCTAAACATCACCGTTAGGTCCTGATGAATACATGTTCCAAGTTTCATTGAGCTGCATTCATTAGTTTGGGAGATATTCCTTGAACCTTGAATTTGGAGATTGGCTTTGAGACCAGTCACGAGTCCGGCCGTAAATTGACCGAGACGTCCTATATAGGTTTCTAGTGCTGAAAGGGTCGCCTGCCGAAGACCACCAATGCCCTGGATGTAATGGACCATCATGATTCCTGCCTTCCGGAACGTAGCCTTCAACATTTCAAGCCGTCCGTATCTAGGCCGTGGGTCGAACCAGCCCTCGGTCGAACGGTCAGTTAAAACTGCTGAAAAACATATTGGTTTCCTAAATGGGGTTTTAGTTGAGAAAAATACACATTTGTGTTTAACCTCTACCTTTTAAAATTGCAGCGTACTAAATTTCAAGAAAGAGTCGTATGTTTTTATATGTATCTGTGGGGGGCGCTAGAGATTCACTAGGGAGCCAAATGGGGCGCCAACCTGATAAAAGTTTGGAAACCACTGCCTTAAATTTACTGGGTGCTGCCAGAAGATTGTCAGGGTAAACCAGATTTCTGGCTCTTGCGAACAGAGCTGGTGGTAGAAGCGCCAACACTGTACACCCTTTCAAAGACAAGCTGGCTAGGTAAGTGTTCAACGAACTTCCAGTATTCAGCCAAGTTTATAGTGAACCCAACTAGGCTTTGCAATAAGAGTCTCACAGAAGCGGACAAAGAAGACGCCAAGTTCGACGAAGACACTGCAAACTAAGCAAACATCGCTCTTAAGTTCACGATACACTTTTTCTAAGTTCAATCCATTCCAGAACATTTAAATTTGTTCAGAAACAAATATACTCTCTTTTACATGTTTTTCCTCGCTTGAACCCTCGAATCACATTCAATTTATTTGATATGAAAAATATTCAAATTTTACCAACAAGATTTATGGAAAATTACATAGTTAATATTTTTATAGTTACCCAAAAGTATACCATTTTCTGCAATTCTCTTCTGTAGAAAACAAACTTGCGGTCACAATCCAATTTTTTCTGCGTAAGAGGATCCCGTACACCCCATAATCCCCATTCCAGTACGCCTCAAGAAAACTGCAATATTTTTTCCTTAGATATGCGGACAAAGTTCTTTGATATGCACTGTAATTTATATAATACATCTGCCTATATATTCAAATAACACAATTTATTTCATGGAATATTTGTACACCATTTTTTCCAGCTGATGAACGTAAACAAATTTCAAGCCTAGCATCACACCGATCTCGTTATTACTGTACGAATGAAAGATGAGAAGGATGCGAGTCAAAGAGAAGTTTTTATTTTGGGAATATAAATGAAACTTGCAACTGCAGCGACTTGCGAATATCGATCAGGTAGTATTATTCCTGATTCCAATTACTTGTTGATTATTAAAGGTTTATGCATGAAGCTTATTTGCATTAATACAATTTTGAAAACATTTCGGATGACAATAGGCTGAATAGAAACGTAGAAGGCCAAGGTAAATCTTCGCTGAAAAAAAGCATGATAACCGCAAAAAAATTACTATAAATTCGAATCTTAGACTTGAGGTGAGAACTTTATTTGGAGAGTTAATTTTACTTTTAATATCTTACTTTCACTGACAATCAGGAAACTTTTCAATTTTAGATACGCCATCATACGCGCCTAAACTCATACCTAAACTCAAACTCATACGCCACTTTCCTATTAGCCTATTAACCCTATTTGTCTAAAAAGGTCACTAGATTGCTTTAATCGCAGATTCACTAGAAATTTAAAAGCGAAGAAAACACCACAAAAATTTAGCATATCTCTTTTGAAAACGTTTCGGAGACCAGCTCCATCGTCAGTTCGATAAATCTAGAACACAGATAAATACAAAGGGCAGAATAATAAAGTAAGTACCTATCTATTCACAATTTCTAATGGATAAGAACTATAGGCAGCATTTAAACTAGGCTTCTCTTTAAAAATATACAAGGATTCCAAAATACGCAGATCGGAAGCACCTATTTGTCTAATTTACCTTCACGTCTGAGACTTTGCAATGTCAAATATTTTGTGAAAAATTTGTTTACTAAAAAATATTTGTTTCAATTGTTTGAAATAATTTGTTTTGGACTTGGGAGTACACCGAGTAGTACTCTACTGCCTACTGGAGTACCTACCTAGGCCGGTAGCAGTACCCTTGGTTGGGCCTTGGCCTTGTTTTGCTACTTTTGTAGCATTTGGCTTGTATTTGTGTAATTGTGTGGACTTTGATTTGTGTTGAAACTTGAAATACCCAAGTTGTGAAAATTTAATAATTTTAATTAGGTATGGTATGTAAAAAACGGTATTAGGTAGGTACTAGGCAGGCGTAACCACTAACCAGCAGGAGTAGGGTAGGGCTCGGTAGGCTAGTACAATAGTTCATTTTCGTTCAATTGAAAGTTTTGTTTTCAATTATTCAATTTTCAAACCAATTACTAAAACTAAGTTTGTAGTACTTCAATTTTTTTCACTTGTTGATAAATAATTCTAATAAATGTTTTGAATAGTGAATACCTACCGTCAATGCCACTAAAGTCGCCACCTCACTAAAGTTGCCACGCTACAGAGAAAAGGAAATATTAATTAAAATGGACCCAATACAAACATTTCATTACCATATGAAAATACTAGAACATTTATTAATATTGCTTGATGTTAGTATAATGCATTTCCGACATTTAATTTGTAATTAGTTCTGAGATTACAAATCAACATGACGAAAATTCTACAAGCGACACAAATTTTTTCCTTCTCCTGTCTGCACCGCACTTGGGCGATGCTTTTTTGCCGAGAAAATGTTTTCCGTACAAGCTCGGGGTCATTCTGAGCTGAAACACAATAAAAAGAGGTTCATATTGCTTGTACTCAAAATTTTAGAGACATTTTAATTTAGTCATTAATTTATTCTATATATACCTGGCGACTTAAGTGCATATTAATTTGGGATAAATGGTGAGGTTTGTGTAGGACTTTTGCTTCATGAGGCAGGACTTGAAGGATAATTTTCGTTGCTAATTTATACCAACAATGCAATTATTGTGTCAGAGTGTTGCCTAAAATAATTCAAGAATCATTCCCCATTCATGTTCCGCACAGAATTAGCAATTATTTTTTAAAAACTCTGTAAAATTACGTCAAAAGTCGCGCACAACACTCTTGCATCGATTGTTTTTTTTTATAGTTTTTCATTTCTCGATGCGTCCTTAAAGTGTCGGAATATAGCGCGTTTACCCTAACCCAATTGTACACTTTTGTTGTCAAATCACAGAATTTCATAGACTACTACTAACTTTACACTACTAACAATAGCCTACCTTAGTTCATTTTTGAGTTCAATAAATAGGCCAGTGTCAAGTAAACTAATGTATGTATTATGTACATATTATTATGAATACCACACACTAGGAAGGGAGGTGCTTATGATGGTACGCCTCTTTATCACCGTCACGTGCTCTGGCAAGTGGTGATTTGCAAGTTGCGGTGGTCTAAACTTTTCGCAACTTTGCAAGGCCCCTTGCACTGGGCTAAACCCAGCAGGCCAGCCGACTTACATTCCCAGCAGACTTACATTCTTTGCACAGAATGAACAATCTGACCCCATGGACCCATTGCAACTGAGCAGCAACTCCACTTAGAAATTAGTGGAATTTCAAAATTGATGTTGATAAAAAAAATGAAAATTTGAACTGAAATTGCTTAATGACTTCTGTCAGTTGCAAAATGCCATAAATGATTGAAAAAAAACAATGACTTACTTTCATTGGTTGCTGAGTCATCTTTCCTGGTCTTGGACAGTTGGACCTCTTCCCTGAGTTCTGTCCTTTGTTCTCTGTCAAGGCTTCAAGCTTTATGGTTCATGGCTTCATGCCACTGGTGCAAAAGAATGTTGGCAACATCACAATCAAAAATATTCACAAAGGCATGATCAAATCTATAATTCATGAGCAAATATCACACCATGGGATTCAGGAGCTTGCTGTCAGACCATGAACTGTGATGAACTCTTGGCCTCCTTGGAGTGCTGGCTGCCACTAGCTCGTTCAGTTGCCAGAGGCACGCTTCTCAACTGCCCTCCTATTTAATATTAATTGCATTTTCAGATCTCCTCTAATTGCTTTCACACATCTAGATGAGCAGAGTATTACTGGCTATATTGATAAATTATATTGGTTATTTTTAATAGTGCAATTAATGCAGTTTACGAGCATTTCTTATGAATTAAGTTTATAGGAAATCAATTGATAATCTTTTGCTTTGAACAAGCTTTTTTATCTCAAATGTCTTGATGATAGCCATCTCAAATTTATTGAAAATTTGTCCCTTGTAAGTTGCAAAATTTTGCAACATGTAGAAAAATTCTAATCCTGCAGGTGTTTAATAAGTTTCCAATGATAAGGCAATTCAACATTGATTTAGAAGTACCTTAGTAATTTTGGTTTGCTGAACATTGCCCTCAAATTTACAGGAATAGCCCCAACGGCTATCAGACAACCTGCCAAGCTAACAGCTGCTATTAAAATAACTGTTAGCTGTGCATTAAAGCTGTTAGTCTTGCACTAGCTGGTCCATCAGTCAAATAATTGGTTAACAATCCTGAACCATGCTGTCATGCAAAATCTCCGTAATTCTTGAATAACAATAAAACAACAATAAATAATTCAATAAAAACAACATTCTGCCAAAACACACACTGGTTTGCATAGAAAAACTTTCATTGTAAGTTATTTTGACCCCAGGTACATATAGGTATTTTTTGGTAGGTTTTAATTTTTTGCTTTTAATTTGTAAATGATTAGCAAATGAGGTTACGTGGCAAGCTGGATTGCATGTCTTTATCATTTATTATGTGCAAGTTTTTGACTAAAATACTCAGTAGAATTAAAAAAAAACATGAAATTTCTGGGCCTCATCTTAAGCTTTCTCTTCATTTTTGGAGTTGAAAGATTTTTAATAGGTAATAATGTCTATCAAATTGTTAATATTTATAAATGATAATGAAAGTACACAATTTAATTGCTAGATTCCCAAGTTAACTCAAAAAAACATTACTTTAGATTGTACATGCCATGATGCCAGGCATAGAGCTTCAGTATTTCATGAAGAAAATTCCAGTCTCAGCCTGTATTTTTCATTAGATGGCCTAGGCAATGAATTTGTTTCATTGGTAATCTTTGAAAATGTTTTTAAATATAAATAAATAGTAATTTTTTAGCTCATTTATGTAATGAAAATGAAAAAAAAGTAAATCTTTGTAGCTAGTATATGAAATGGTGACAATAGTTGATAGTTCACTGTCATAAATTGCTTCAAAAAAATCATTTCATATATTTTTCAAATGTCAACTACGGTAATCTATAAGAATTAGATAGGTTATATGTGTAACATATATTGATTGTACTTTCAAAATTTTTTACCTCAAATAACAACCTTGATGATGAATTTTAATAATTTTATATTTTTCTTTTATTAAAAATCCTTCCTACCTGTTCACTATGAGCTGGTGAGCCTTTTAACAATATTGCTGACAAATTTTATTTTATTTTGGCTTAATATCCTGACCTATGCCATCGTTGCCTTACATTAAATGTTGAATGAAATCCGCATGCAGATTTTGTTTTATGGCAACATGAAATGCTTGATTAAATATGATTAATATTTTAATTGTCCCAATAATGTTGAAGTGGATAGTGTTGGCTACCTCCTTTTCATTATCAAAGGCTGATGTAGACAAATGTTTTGATTGATATTAACAGCAGGTATTTGAAATGAGAATGCTATGTCACTATTTAAAAACCATATGGACAATAGTTTAAAATCATTTGGCCTGTAATTTCTAATGGATCCCTATTCAAAGTAAATAACTGATGTACAGTTCACTGAGCTCAGCAATTCAAAATCCAAATAGATGATTAAATTTTCAGAGTCCCAAAAAATTTTGCTCGAACCAACTAAATTTGCTACTTTTCTATTTCAGATTTATTTTCATTCTGCAGTTAGTTTTACGTTCAAGGCTAATTTTGATGGTTCAAAATGAATGTTCAAATTCAACGTCGCAGATACGACTGTTCTGCTTTGCCAAAAGGATGGAAGAGAGAAGAAGTCTTACGGAAGAACTGCCTCATAACACCTGGAAAGATAGATGTTTTTTATTACAGGTAGTGTTACAAGTTACAATTTAAATCTAATTGTCCTAGCTTCTTGTGTTTCATATGATCCATTAAGAAAATTGTTTGAAATTATAGTGAAATGAAAATTCTTGGGCATTTCTTATGTTTTCTGTCTAATTTCTGATGATAATTAGTGAAATACTCTGTCTAACTTTGTTTTGAATATCTTGACAGTTGAAATATAATTGAATGAATAAAATTTCAGTCCCTGTGGGAAGAGGATCAGAAACAAGCCACAATTGGTACGGTTCCTTGGTGAATCTGTGGATCTATCATCCTTTGACTATCGGACGGGTAAAATAAACCCCATGCTTGTAAGAAAGAAGAAATGTAAAGGAACTCTTTATGATTACAGGTTTGTCTTGTTATAAACAATTGTTGACTCTGTACAATTAAGAATTTAGCTACTTTCAAACTTTTGTTCTTGGAACTTGCAAATTCAAATACAGTGATATTAATCATTTTTTTATATTAAACTGTAGGTATCTATGATATAGAGTCTCCTAATGTTGGTACAAATACTATTGATGAGCCTCTAGTCTCTTTTTAAAGTGTGAAATTAAAGTTAGTTAGGTCTGGGTGAAAAGTTGAATGTCATGTCAAAAATACCATTTGTGGTACATCACTTTCCAATAATTTTAAATTAAATATTGGTATATTGAATAAGCAACTTTGTATTAAAAAGTTACAGCTCCAAACAGCCTACTTTGATGTCTTGTTCAAACTGATATACAAGTACCTATATCTTCTGTCCCAAAACAGACGTTAGCTTTTCAATCTATGAATCTAGCCTCTGCAATTTATTCCTATTAGAAGGAAAGATGGTAGGCTCAGAGGCTAGATAATATTAAATCTCTAGTTTAATTACTGCTGGTGAGGCTCATAGTCCCATTGTATCACTACTACAGCAAAGCTGGTTTTGTGCAATTTTTTTCAGTCGTGGTCTCAGAAGCGACAGTTCTTTAGTGCCACCAATACGGCAAACGGCCTCCATCTTCAAACAGCCTGTTACTGTTGTCAAAACTCAGCAGCATAGCGTGGTCAAGAGCGATATTAAGCATGGCACTCAGGACAAGCCCAAGCAGGTTGGTTGATTCTTTTATTTTGGCACTTGTGTCATTATGTGTAAAATGTGTCATTTTTTATTGCTTGTATCTTGAGCTGAATATCTTTTCCACAAAATGCATTCTCAAACGACTTAATCCTAGATGCTGTTTTTTGAGATTAAAAATTTTTTCTTTGGTAATACCTACTATTAAGCAAATGTCTATTTGATTGAAACTATTAACCTTTTTGCTGGAAAGCATAAAAATATTCAGAAATTTAAGTTTCTGAAAACAAGACAACAAAGTATGAACTAGGTATCATAAAATGTAGTTTCTTGTGTATATATTTTCCTAATTTTGGCATATTGAAGGAGTGATTTGCTGTTGAAGTCAAATGTAATCATAAAAGGTACACACTAAAAAAATATAATATTATTCATGTTTAAACAGTAGAATTTAAAGAGTGGTAACTTTCAAACTGCAAATTCAGTGTAATTTAAATTTAATTAGATAATTACTTAAAAAGATATTTCTAATTCTGTCTTTTAACAAAATGCCCAAAGAGCATCAATTTCATTGCCCAAGTCAAAATTTTAATTTAAATTATTAGGCATGACAGGGTGTGATGCTTCACACTGTCACACAGTACAATTGTCAAATGATTGATGATTGGCAGAGGCATTATAATGTAGCCTCAATCTCCAACTGGAGGCTGTGGTGGTTTTTTGGGGGAAAACTTCTATGTGACCTTGTATGGTAATTTTCCTGCTAAAGGATTAAGCATGTAACAATATGCAAGAATTAGTAAATGCTTGAATATCTACTAGTAATGTGGGGCTAATAACTGAACAATGGATAAAAGTAAACAAATTTCACAGGTGTTTTGGGAGAAGCGATTGCAAGGACTTGGCGCGACTTGCAATGCCAAGTGGCCTGTCATGGAGGAGCTCCAGCTTCCTGCTGCCCTACGACCTGTGGGGCCTCAAGTGACCAGCCAGACCGTTCTGCAGGTAATGCTCAACTACTCATTGTAATATTTATTGTGAAATTCGTTTGAGAATTACCCAGTTCAATTTCTACTCAGGAAGTGATCAATGAAGTAGCAAATGCTTTTCTCCTGGAGGTTCAAACTTGGGATTCCATATGAGCACAATTGATTTTGGGCTCTATGTCTCAGTGATGTTGATCATTACTTTAAATTTGTCTATAGGTATTGCTGGTATTCTATTATTATATCATGATAAAGTATTTTATACATACCGGTATATCTTCAATAAATATGAGAAATTAATAAATTAAATGAAAAAGTATTCAATAAAGGTATTTAATATATTGTGGTATTTTTTGTTGCTGAAACTGATTTACATCTTCTGGAGCTCAAAGGCTCTTTCAATATCTAATGGAAAATCGGAAAATCAACCACTGTCCATTATGAGATATCAATATACCTATTCTGCTAATCATTCAATCTGTCAGTGAATTATGCACTTGATTTAGCAGATTTAGCATTCAATGCCTCTGTATGATATTCGCAGATAGCTGTGTAATGATTGCTTCTCTTCACATCTCAAGTATTGGACTCACCAAAAACCTGTGTTTGGAATAATAACTTTTGTGTTCTGTGTGTTCAGAGCCTGGCAACAGCGCTACACGTTGTGTCTGGTCCCATCACTGGCCAGACAGTTGCTGCTCAAACACTTCAGTCCAATCCTGCAGTCTTCATTAACCCTGACCAGCCTCTTGTTGAGGTAATGTCTTTCATTGATTTGTTATAACGTTACATATTCATGAATATTAATATTGCAACAATGAATGATTGAATGCCATTTTCATATGACTTTACCGTTACTGTTCGAATTTTTATTTCATGTACTGATCTACTCTGACTTGATTTTGCTTGCGAACTAATTCACTATGTATTGTATAAAATGGCAAACTCTTGTGCATCTTGCTATTGTATCCTCGGTTTTATTTTATATATATCTTATTGGTAATTATATTGGTATTGGTAATATATAGGGTATCTTTCAATATAACCCATGATAAACCTGGGCAGGAGGTACACATAAGAGACGCAGACATCATCAGCCAAGAAGCGCTTGTAGACAAGATCAGAACAAGACTTGAACGCGCCATACGACAGGTGGCTAATGTCTCCCACTGAACTGCTCGTCTGCTTCAACATTCTATAAAACAATGTCATCAATATTTCTGTTGAATTAGTCCAAATTTTTATCCGATTCATTTAGTGTCTTTCCCAGTGGAAGGTGCATTGTTCCTTTCTTTCATTTCCATGAAGCAAAAAGTCCAAAAAAACACTGACCTATTCATTAGTTACCTCCTTCCTCAGAATATTGGAAGCACGTTTATATATCGGTATGTCTCTTCCACAATGTAGCTACGGCACAATTCTGTTTTTTAAGCTCCTTCTCCAACAACTGACTAAGCTAAAGCCGTCTTCGGTTTGAAACTTGATATTTGTTAATCCCTAACTCCTGAAATCCCTTAAATTTTCTGCACTCTAATTCTAAAATAAATAGCTAGGAGCAATGCAAAACGTAGGCTTTTTACTATTCTCTTCATTTATGATTGAAACACGTGCTCCGTTTTGATGATATATGATCGAATTTATTTCCTTTTTCTTTCTTTTTTACAATTGAAAAAAAAAACACTTCATGAATATTTTTTCCTGTACTTCTGGATAATACTGACTTTTGTTTTGTCGTTTTAACTCGATAAAAATAATACATGAGGGCTTTGTTTCTTGATTTCTTCTCGAAGTCAATGATTCAAATTGTATCACATCAAAATTAATCCTATTATTTTATTTTCTTGTAAAAACAAAAGTTTTGTATTGTAAAATAATTTCACCAATGTTCAAAAATGTAGTGGCCAATGAAAAGCTCGCACGATATGTGTCCAAGTTTTTCTTTTCTTGTGCCGTTCTTTCTCTGCTGTTGTTTCATGAGATCTTTTATAGATAAGCGTTTTCCATTTTATGGTGAGCTTGAAAAGTACAATGTTTGACCGCTTCCTAGCTAACCTTATTCTAATTTAATGAGAAATTATATCACCTGATGAAAGAGAATTGACCTTGAATATTTGTGCTCAAAAAAGGACTTTGGATATTAGTATTGATTTATTTTATCACGACATTAATTTTCATTATTTTTATTCCTACTCATTAAAAAATATACTACATCATCTATCTTCATGTCTCATTGTAAGTATCCATTTTCATGCATATTTAGTTTATAAATGCTAGCAGCGCTATCTCGGACGTGTTCTGACAAATTCTCGTTTCGTTTAATGTCGTAAACTTAATTAAATTATGATTTGAAATCAGTCGTGCATTTTTCTCCTATATTCGACGCCGTTCTATTTTATTGGGAATATGCGGCTATGGGTATATATTTTATTGGGAATATGCGGCTATGGGTATATATTTTATTGGGAATATGCGGCTACCTACTGACCATGCAGTAGTGTAGCGCGAAGTGTCATGATTGGACCTCGTGCTATGAAGCATAAATAGACGTGACAATAGCCTATTTATTTAGTTATGTATTTATTTATAACTTGCGTTGCAACAGTTCTTTCATGTAGACTCTTTCTTTTAATTCTTGTTTAGATAAACTGAGCCCAAGATCTGTTTATTCTTGCTTTTATTGTCCTCATACGAGAAATATTATTTTGTTGCCTTAGCGGCCGACATAATGAGCGATATAAATTGTATATTGGTCCCATTAATATTAATTAGAATAAAGAAATGTAAGTCCGTCTGTTGAATGATGATACTCACAACTTTCAATCTGGAGCTTGCATTCTTGAGTGTCGTGCGGGTAGATGGCATAGTTCATTGCGCAGGATAGCGTCAGTGTCAGCCTGATTCCTCGGTTTTATTTTATATATATCTTATTGGTAATTATATTGGTATTGGTAATATATAGGGTATCTTTCAATATAACCCATGATAAACCTGGGCAGGAGGTACACATAAGAGACGCAGACATCATCAGCCAAGAAGCGCTTGTTGATAAGATCAGAACAAGACTTGAACGCGCCATACGACAAGTGGCTAATGTCTCCCACTGAACTGCTCGTCTGCTTCAACATTCTATAAAACAATGTCATCAATATTTCAGTTGAATTAGTCCAAATTTTTATCCGATTCATTTAGTGTCTTTCCCAGTGGAAGGTGCATTGTTCCTTTCTTTCATTTCCATGAAGCAAAAAGTCCAAAAAACACTGACCTATTCATTAGTTACCTCCTTCCTCAGAATATTGGAAGCACGTTTATATATCGGTATGTCTCTTCCACAATGTAGCTACGGCACAATTCTGTTTTTTAAGCTCCTTCTCCAACAACTGACTAAGCTAAAGCCGTCTTCGGTTTGAAACTTGATATTTGTTAATCCCTAACTCCTGAAATCCCTTAAATTTTCTGCACTCTAATTCTAAAATAAATAGCTAGGAGCAATGCAAAACGTAGGCTTTTTACTATTCTCTTCATTTATGATTGAAACACGTGCTCCGTTTTGATGATATATGATCGAATTTATTTCCTTTTTCTTTCTTTTTTACAATTGAAAAAAAAAACACTTCATGAATATTTTTTCCTGTACTTCTGGATAATACTGACTTTTGTTTTGTCGTTTTAACTCGATAAAAATAATACATGAGGGCTTTGTTTCTTGATTTCTTCTCGAAGTCAATGATTCAAATTGTATCACATCAAAATTAATCCTATTATTTTATTTTCTTGTAAAAACAAAAGTTTTGTATTGTAAAATAATTTCACCAATGTTCAAAAATGTAGTGGCCAATGAAAAGCTCGCACGATATGTGTCCAAGTTTTTCTTTTCTTGTGCCGTTCTTTCTCTGCTGTTGTTTCATGAGATCTTTTATAGATAAGCGTTTTCCATTTTATGGTGAGCTTGAAAAGTACAATGTTTGACCGCTTCCTGGCTAACCTTATTCTAATTTACCAAGAAATTATATCGACCTGATTAAAGAGAATTGACCTTGAATATTTGTGCTCAAAAAAGGACTTTGGATATTAGTATTGATTTATTTTATCACGACATTAATTTTCATTATTTTTATTCCTACTCATTAAAAAACATACTACATCATCTATCTTCATGTCTCATTGTAAGTATCCATTTTCATGCATATTTAGTTTATAAATGCTAGCAGCGCTATCTCGGACGTGTTCTGACAAATTCTCGTTTCGTTTAATGTCGTAAACTTAATTAAATTATGATTTGAAATCAGTCGTGCATTTTTCTCCTATATTCGACGCCGTTCATATCCTATTTCTTATTAAAATAAGAAATTATCAACTGTCTGGCCTTGACCTATTTCTTCTAGCGCTGGAAGAGTCTAAAACAGTGATAGTTTCATCTGAAAGTGTTAAAACCTTTTGTTTTTAAAATTATTCAACTTTTTAACCATTCCTTTTTTTAATCGCAAATGGTTTCCAGGACGGCGTCACTTTTTCCAAAAAAAATTCTGTTATCATCCTTTGTTTACAAACCAACACAAGTGTCTTCAGACGCATGCATCTTATGCCCCTTCTCGAAATAGTCTCGCAGAATTTCCCCTCACGCAAAGTCTACCGCCAAAAATGCGGCCTGCACTCATTGCATACTGAAGACCCTGGAGGCAACTGGGGCTTCTTCAATGAAGACTTTATAGCCATCTACAGAACTATCACGAGCCCAATTCTCTACTAGCCAGCTCAAAGGTCGTGCGTCTTTCCTGTTTGAGGGACTAGTTATGCAAGCCGAATGCCTATCAAATCCCTTAGCAGTACCTCTAAATGAGGCTGGGGCACCATCTGGTACCTCGTCGCGTCGCCGTCGCAACCCTCCGGACCATGCAAAACGTTATATTTGCCTCTGGCCGATTTCCACCGGCTACGTTACCGCTCTATTCAGTTAATGAAAATGCCAGCCACGCGTCATATCATTGTGGTCACTTATTTTGTCATCAGTTAGGTAGATAGTATCAAACCTGCTGGCTCCTATGAAGAGGTAAATCATTCCCTCTGCAGCGAAACATCCTCCGTCTGAGCGGAATGACGTCCTCACTGCTCGTCTCTGATGCAGCGTCTATCTGGGCTCTGCAGTTCCCAAGCATCGTTTATGTTCAAGGCTGAGCAGACACTTGGTGGCACATGACTTGAGTGCAGAGACCTGGTACAGACCTCCCCTTCCTTCCTGTCGACCCTCAGCGTCCGCTCGCTCACTGTGAGACCGTCCCGAGGTAGTAGCCTTTTCTGGCCACGTTTCACCTTCGTCCATCACCCTTCGTCTTCCGGTGGCCCTCTCATGTCCGCAACTTGACCGCAAACGACCACATGAGAAATTTCATACTGTTGATCAGAAGCACCTCTTTTTTTGAGCACTAATTAGCTTTTGAACCACAGCACTATCATTACGAGCGCTACTTGTACGTTGGTTTTTTTTAAATTCAGTATATATGCTTAACGCATATTTGTCATATTGAAGGATCTCATCTAAAACCAAAACTGCTTATTCACTCACTTTATTCAATAAAGTACGCGATATCGGTGAAGTTTCGAGATTTAGTACAAGCTGAATAATTGGTTTTGAATAATATCTTGGATTGTAACTCATATTTTGGGGAAATGAAACTCAACAATGAGATTCAATTTATCTTACTTCGTGCTCGAGCGAGCGTTTGTAAAGGAAAATATGGTAAATTATGTCGCTTTCAAAATCCTTGTCTAGAAAGTTGGGATCCAAATAACTTGACAACCCGATCCATATTTCTGAAGAAATAACACTCAATTAAAATCCAAAGCTCACACTGTTATCTTTACTACATATGATAAAGCCACTAGAATTCGTATTGGGAAAAATTATTTGAGAGATAATGGAAGAAAAATTGGGTGTATTTCTGATGATTACATCATAGAAGACTCATGATAAGCTCTGAAACCTCAGAAAGCTGTACGATAATTTTCTCATGGTAATCTTATATTTTTGTACGAAACAATGCTTATGCCGCAAGAAGAAAAATCCCGCTTCGTTTTTAGATGTGCGACCACATCGAGATCCAGTAAATCAGATTAACCAAGAGGAACGAGAGTGGAAAAGCAAGTCTCGAGAATCTGTCAATCACAATGGCTTTCGCCCTTCTGCTCGAGCCTGCTTTGATAACCGGGGCAGGTTGCGACTTCTGGGGGGGTGGCGGGGGAGGCGGGACCTTGTATTCTCTAGGACCTTTGCCTCTAGCAAGGCTATCCCTACCTTGTGCGACCCTACAATCGACGTTCAAATATGAGTCAGGGCCATCATCAACGTCTCTGTCTAGATCCGCGTGATATCCTTTGTCCCGATGTGACCTAAAGAAGTCTGTGTGAAGTGATGTCTTGCGCACAGCTGTCTCGTCGATGGCCTCGCGTGCTTTTTGCCTCGATGTGTTTCGGGAATAAGGACCAACTGACAACGAACGAGTGTGTGTCTGTGAGTGATGACACTTCGTACCACGACTGGTATTGTGAGCGTGTGCGTAAAATGAGTCGCATGCAATCAATTGTGGCTGAGACGCCCTGCTTCCCTGACGTTCTCGGACATGGCACAAGCTTTGTTCCGGCAAGTTTATGGACTTTGAACGAGCTGTAGTGATGGTTTCATTGAGTTGATGGCCACATTTATAAGTTATTCGCGAGCTTACAGGAGAAGTTGGCATTGTCCCGATGTCTCGTTCGACACTGCTTGTGGGTAGGTCATCACGCACAGAATTGTGTTCCGCCGGCTCGGGACTAGAACGGGTGGTGGCGGAGTAGTTCAAAACTGGCGACGATGAGTGAGACAGACGTAGTTGCTTCGCCACACACATAATTCGGCTGTTTTCCTGGGAAAGCAAAAATAAAAAGTAAGAACCTTCCAATTGTTATGCTTCTCAGAGTTAATCGTGAAATTTTTTATTTTCATATTCCTCTTGGTGGCTTTTATGATTCACATTGTGGCAGTTTCAGTTACATAACAGCTGAAGGATTTAACATTTACGGTAAATTTTGCTTAGATTTTGAGTCGTCTCATTTCATAATCCCATGTCTTGAATCTTGTCCTTACATTGATATAATTCTCGCCAAACGTATAAAAATTATATGATAACGTTTTATTACGGTATATGTTCGAGGTTTGAATATATATGTTCAGAAACATAAGATTCTTTTCAGGATGTTGTCTATATGGAAGTTTTATCTTTCACACACCATCGGAATTGCTCAGCTGATCGTAGTTCACAAATAATTTATATACTTGTAATATGTCAGACAGGGTAGTTGGTATTCAAAAGTGGACATGTACACAAATTGTACACCGGTGCAATAAATTGATCAATTTATTCGGTAATACGAATGCTGGAGATTACATAGTAGTTGCGCAACGAGTACCCAGAAATCAGCAGTACATTATAAATATTTATTTATAATAATCGTACGAGTGCTTGTGTTTTGTATTAGTATAAGAGGGAACGTCACAAGATTAATAAGAAAATTGTTCCTGCAATCGTAAGGTACAAAGTAAGGGATATAAAGAGTTGAACAGAACTATCATTAATCTCGATAAACTTCCATAATTTCATAAATATTTGAAATCCCAGGTTTATTTACACCCGACAATGCCGTTGGCATAGCCTTCTTCAGTTAACTATGATGTATCTACTGCAAATGTCGTTAAAAAAACATTTCTGCATTGACAATCACTAAGAAGCCGCTTGAGAGTCACTTACCGAGAATCGGTGTCGTAGCGGAACTTCAATGTCTCCGAAACTTCGCTCCCGGCAAGAGTTTGTTGCCGAGTGGTCGAGAGAAGACCTCTTCCTGCCAGGGGCGGCTCTTGCAGGTTCAGGAGAAGGCTTCTTGGGGACAGACGGCACGTCCGGTCCGTCGCCCAGCACAAAGTTAACAAGAGCGTATTCCATCAACGCCAAGAACACGAAGCTGCAAAATATATCATTTCCGAATGCATCTGCATGTTCAGTCTTAAAATGCCTAGCAACTTACGGACCAGGCAATAATTCCAGCAGCTATCTCAATCAATCTTCAGTTATGGAAAGATCTGGTTCCAAAGGCCGGATCCCTTGTGCATCAAGTCACGAAAAGTACAAGAATCGGCAACAGGCCATGGGCCTATTTCTTCAGTGCCGACGCTTCTATTCTATGTATCTATATCATCTCAATTTATATCACGTAATCGGCGACAGGCCAAGGGCCAATTTCGTCAGCGCCGACACACCTGTAGTAATTCTATTGGTAGTTGAATATGTCATATTCTCCCTGTTCGATGATTGATGTAGCAATGTATCCTTATGGGATTGATTATTTCCAAATGCATGAAATAATACAAAAATATAATTATGTAAGAGGTATGTTGAAATTAATTATTATAACGTAGTCGATGTATGAATGCTGCTAAGTGAGATAGAAAATACGGAAATGCCATTATGTGCAATATGTTATGTAGAAATGAAGTTTTTTCCGATAAGCAACGAGCTTTTAAGTTGGAGATTATTATTGTGCAATAATAACATTGTGAAACAGTAAATTTTGGGCAGTTAAGCATTGTTGAATAAGTAACGAATAAAGGTAACGAATAAAGAATAACTTCCCAAATAATATGCAACAAATGCTTATAGCAAAATAATTCCATTTTATTTTTTCGAAACTAAAGCATTTTAATATCCTCAGTTGTTGCACAAGCACACTGCGAGAACTGAATTGCAGCAGTAATCATCAATGAAAAAAACTCTTCTGCGGAATTCAGAGAATTGGATTGATCCATCTTGGTATCAGGCAGTCGTTGCAGCATAATATCTCTTCATCACGAACTCAAAATACCGCTTCATCTCCCTTCTGTATTATAATATCAGTATAATATCATCTAGCTGTTGTATTATATTAACAGTATAATACCATATCCCTGTTGTATTACAAAAACAGTATAATATTTTAGTGTCTGCAGCGATTAGGCCATGCTGGGCTGTCACCGATTCGGCCACGGTGAGAAAATGAAGCCAAGGAATTTTAACCAATAAAATGTATGCTTAGGAATAAACTTGTTTATAACTGTGAGTGCGGCATCACCCACATGGTGCAGGAGTTCATGAACATGTCGATGATTTTGATGTAAGAGACTGGAGGCAGCGAAGCCTGGGACTTAGCGTGCTGCGTTGACAGAGTCAGCAGTGACGTCACGCCGAGTGTAACGCGGGCTGGCGCTGCCTCGGGCTTGATCCAAAACGATATCCACTGCGATAGAAACGAGATCCATGGCGATTAAAACCATATTCACTGTGATAAGAACGATATCCATGACGAATAAAATAATATTCACTGCGATAGAAACTATATATCCATGGCGAATAAAACCATATTCACTGTGATAGAAACGATATCCATGGCGAATTAAACGATATTAACTGCGATAGAAACGATATTAATGGCGAATTAAATGATATCCACTGCGATAGAAACGATATCCATGGCGAATAAAATAATATTCACTGCGATAGAAACGATATCCATGGCGATTAAAACGATATTCACTGTGATAAGAGCGATATCCATGGCGATTAAAACGATATTCACTGTGATAAGAGCGATATCCATGGCGAATAAAATAATATCCACTGCGATAGAAACGATATCCATGGCGATTAAAACGATATTCACTGCGACATAAACGATATTTACTGCAATAAAAACTTTATTCACCGCGATAAAAAATATACCCAAGGCAATTGTACTGATAGCGAAAACCATATCTATGGCATCATTATACTGGTAGTTAAATCTTTAACTTTCAGAAAGATAAAGGTCATTTTAGTATTTAAAATATCGAGTTGCCACTAACAAAGGTTGTGACGAATAGTACGTCACTGTGCAGACTCACCGACATGATGACGATGAGGCAGGTTGGCATGTAGGTATGGAAGAGGTAGTAGCCTAGACGCCGTTTGAGTGTAAACACAACTTCCAGGCATGTGAAATTCCCTGCACACAGATCAAACTCCGTCAGATTTTTTTTAATTGGGCAGAGATTCAACTAACTGGCATTAAATAAATTCATATAAATCGTATCTTAAAGAGAAATCAACTAACAGTGTTGAGAGTTGGAATGCTTTGCACAATTTGTGTGTGATTTAATAAGTAATTCTCTAGCTACTGTATATGTGAACGTGTCTGGGCAAAGGTTCTAATAAAAAGTTACATGGTGAAAATCAATCAAGCCATTATGCACGAGTGTGAACAGGTAGATCAGTATCAATCAATTAAACATTAATTTATAAAGCTTTTTCGATAAAAAAATATTCGTATTGATTAGAAAATTGAGCATGTTATAGTGATAGCAATCGATTTTATATTGGAGAAGGAGAAGATGATCTCACTGTGCTGGTGCTAATAATCACATTAGTTTATGAATGCTGTCAAATTTTTACAATAATGGAACTCTAATAAATGAATAGGAAATCTAACCTGTTATATGACAATTATAGTCGAACAAGCAACTTCTATGTAGAAATATCAACCGCGTCTTTAGTAGGTGAGTATTTCGACTACCTAGTGTTTAGTCATGGTTTTATATTATAATGCCCGAGTCAATCCTAGGTTTTGAAAATATTCTGCCACTGTAGGTAAAAAACTTGGGAAAATGTAGTGATATGGATATTAATAATGGTACTTTACTCAAAACGAGGATGAGGGTTGTAGAATATATTGTACAACTACATAACTACATTGTTCAATAGCTACAATACTGTGCATTGTACAATTCGATAGTTATCAGTAAATTATATATCACAAATTTCTGAAAATCCCTAAATAACTACTCACTGAATCTATGATAAAAAATTTTTTATTAACTTGATCGAATCAATCAGTGGCAGAATCGCTATCACTAATAAAACATCACTGAGAATGAGGAAATGAACATTAAAGGTGACACATTAAAGGTAACTAGAAGCCTTTCGTGAAATGCCAGCATATACACTGTTAGAAAAACGGTGAAAAAACGGTCCCACTGGCGTTCTAGTGGCCGGTCGCCCGGTGAAAACAAACTGTTTCGCCGTTTTTATCAGATGTTTTACGGATTTCTAGTGTTAAATAAGAATAAAAACGGCGAGTCGGTGTTTCTTTTCACGTGCCAACCGGCCTCTGAAACGCCGGTAATACCGTTAACGGTAATTTTTCTAACAGTGTCTCTCGCGTGCATGAGAAATACTGCTGCTCTTATAATGTGGCCACACTCACCGGTAGAGTAGATCTGAGTGCAGTCAGCCGTAGTGTTGTGGATCAGATCAAACTGAGGTAATTGAATATTCTCGTCCACTGCCAGGGGAACATCTTCTTGCCACTCGAATACGAGATCCTCGGTTGTATGGGACACTGAAACGCGTGATAATTATTGTAAAAATTATTTTGAAAACTGAAACGCGTGATAATTATTGTGAAAATTATTGTGACGACTGAAACGCGTGATAATTATTGTGAAAACCATGATGAAACAATGAAACGTGAAATTATCTTCCAGAAAACCATACGTTTCATGATAATATCCCAAAGCGCTGTCTGAACCGAACCTCCACTAATTTTTTTAACGTGTGCGACATAATTAAATTTATTATAGAGCAGAGAAATAGTTGATGAGAGGCAAAAAAGTGATGCAACTTTCTTTATATGGGAAAATTTGTGATGCAATTCGCACAAATTTTAGTATTTTTCGTAGAATTTTATTAGTATAATGAGCTAGAGAAAAACACATTACCTACAGTTTAATGGTTGGTTTAATAGATTAGATTTTGTTCATAATACTTGCTTTAATATATGTTTTTATTAGTAATGGATTTGATAAGGTGTTTATTCGTACCTAATCCTTAGAGATCCTAGTCCTTTAGCAGTCTATAATTGGTACCATTAAATTGAAAAAAATATAACTCAGTACTCACTGCAGTGAGTGACAGAGAGCGCATTTTCTCGTCGACGAAAACTTGAGGTCACGGACGGACGGACAGACGGACGGACAGGCAGACAGACGGACATGGCGAGCACAATAGTGCATTTTTTCCATAAATGAGAAAATGCGCTTAAAAACGGCGCTGAAAATTATTTGAGCCGCATATCTAAACAGAAAGTTAAAATGCCTACTTCGATAACTTAGTGCTTTTTTGAAAGCTTTAAAAAGCGTGAGGAATATTTTGAAGTAGATGAGTAGGCACGCCTCTGGTTTTGCAATGATCTAATTTGTAATTTATAATTTCAGTTTTAATTTTTCTCTTTAGTAATATTCAGAACCATCAATCTCAGGTGCATGAGAGCATTTTGATCTTGTGCCCAAAGGAGTTTATCTGATTGAAATCGCAGCAGCATGACTGCCTGATGCCTGAATCAGAAGACAAACCTTTAAAATCAACCCTTTTGATCATCAATACGTCACATATATAACCTATTCCTTTTATCCATTGCAGATTAATTTAAACGTTTTATTCTCCCTTTCATCTCCCTGCTCATCTAAATCTGTCCAGAACGATGAAAAATATCATTGCAACAAGCAAAGGCGCATCAAAGATTACAGGCGAGAGAAGAAACGTAATTTAGACATATGAGTCCTGAGAAGGAATAGCACAAAGAGTAGTGGAACGCGCGCGCGATGTCGGCGCAATGTGCTGAAGAGGCGTTAGATGATTACATGCGCATGACTGATGATCTTCTCACTGCGATCTCGACCCAAAAATAATACTGCACTTACAGCTTCCTGGGGGGCAGCTTTCTCTCGTCTGATACTGAATGCGAGGTATATATTTTATTGGGAATATGCGGCTATGGGTATATATTTTATTGGGAATATGCGGATATAGGTATATATTTTATTGGGAATATGCGGATATAGGTATATATTTTATTGGGAATATGCGGCTACGTACTGACCATGCAGTAGCGTAGCGCAAAGTGTCGTTTTTGGGCCTCGTGCTATGAAGCATGAATAGACGTGACGAATGCCTATTTATTTATTTATTTATGTATTTATTTATAACTTGCACTGCAACAGTTCTTTCTACACTGAGCACAAAATTTTTTATTCCTGATTTTATTGTCCTCATAAGAGAAATATTATTTTGTCGCCTTAGCAGCCGACATAATGAGTGTATCAATCATATATTGGCCTCATTAATATTAATATACTCAACTATTAATATACTCACAACTTTCAATCTGGAGCTTGCACTCTTGAGTGTCGTGCGGGTAGATGGCATAGTTCATTGCGCAGGATAGCGTCAGTGTCAGCCTGAGAACATAAACACTGTCATAATATTTTATTACTAAACTTGAGGACTCTTTTTATAGACTTAATAACTGCCTTGCATAGTGTGTTGAACGTTCCTATATGTTATGTTGTTAACTTATAATTCTTATTTTCGTATATGGATGTCAACCCGAGTAGTGCAACCATGGCACATCTCAGGCCAACATTTATTCTCGACGACTGGAACCGCGAGAATAAATTAATTGTCACTAAAATTACATTTAGTAGGGACACAATTGTCTCCAATGTCTTTTATGAAAATTTTATGATTCCCGATGGCATGTGCAAAGGCAAAGTGTGGTAAAGTAAGTCTTACTTGACCATGTAGAGGATCATCTTGGACTTGTAGAGCCACACGTAATGGTTGGGGATTGTCATGGTCTGGAAGGTGACCTGCTTGGCGTTTTTGAAGTAGCTGTCGGGGCGCCACATTTCATTCAGCCACTCAACCTCCAGCAACCTGTCCAACGCACAACCGGGTTGCCCAAGTTTTATGTTCTCTAAATATTATTCGTTCGAAAATTTCAGCATCGAAAGTAATGAATGTTCTAATTTTATATACTTCTATTCTCACATAAAGTATGTTAGAAGAGCGAAAACATTTTTTGTGACATGAATCTGAACACTTCCATGCCACAGTTCTGCTGAAATTGTTTGAATGAGCGCGAAGATTAATACTAGCACAGGTTACACTCATAGAAAGTAAATTTGAGAAAGAAAATATAGTCGCATGAATTAAAAAAATTGGCTTAAATATTTTAACAACTACGGCCATAAAATCCGCGGTTCAATTGACCAGCGACCAATTTACAGTAGACAATTGACGGTAGACAATTAACGGTAGACAATTGACGGTAGACAATTAGCAGTAGATTAACGGTAGACAATTGACGGTAGATGAGGTAGGTGAGTGAGTGTCTGATGCAGGTTAACCAGCAACCCCAACACACACAAATACCAGCTCCAGCAGCCGCCTTTACCTGTAGTCTGAAGTCATGTTTTCCGGCAAACGCAACCGCTCGTCTGTCCAATTTTGCGCAAAGAAGATGTCCGCAGCGTAAGTCTGTAAATAAACGAGTTGTTAGTTATTCCCTTACGGTAGGGCAAAACGATCACTATACTTAACTTAACCCTCTACCGCCATATCTCACTATCCGGGAACATAACTTTCAACTTAAATTATACCTAAACTATTGAGTGTAGCAACCTGAGGATGTTTGTACGCTACAGAGAACATTTTAAAGATGTCGCACGGCGGCAACCATCAGTACAAGTCATTTTGCGCTCACTAGCAACGTATCCTTTTGGGTAGCAGGCTTGTGACATTATTGCTCCGGTTACTCATGTCAGGTGGTAGAGGGTTCATTGTCTGTACCAAAATTAAAGTTTGAATTTTGAGCGATTTTCCTCTCTTTGCATTTAGCAATTGAATTCTCGTCAGATTGCGTAATTTTACAACTTTATAATATCGTATCGATGCCAGGTACAACTGTACCAATGTGATCCGACAAGAGTTAATACACTGCACTCGCGAAGACTTAATAAGTTTGAGGCGATTTTTCGTTGGCATTTCCCACGTACATTTTAACATTTTCTGTAATGAAAGAAACTGTTCAATCCCCCAAAATTTTTAAATTATTAGCAGATATACGATAAGTTATCAGGAGGCTTTTTTGGAACTAGCTCATAAATTTGATAAACAGTTAAGACCCGGACCTATGATGCATTGAGGTATCTTCCTTAAATTTTTACGTTGATTTATTCAAATAAGTGCTTTAATCCCATATTGTTTGTACCCGCTCCACTAACGAAGGAAATGAATGATACCTTTCCTATTCTTAATATGCTAGAGACAGTTGTCACAAGGATTTGGAATATGAATTTCAAAGTAACTCATACATTCATATTTATATGATTAGGACTTGCTGGAGATTTATATAAATTATACTCCCTGGAGAATTTTCATTTGATTTTATCTTTAATGCAATGATAACTTCTGGTCAATATGCGAGTAAATATAAAATTCATTTCGAGAGAAACGAAATCAATCATTCCGTATCGGAAGCCACTGCAGTGTTAAAGCATATCATATAATTACAAACTATGTGTGATTTATTTTTAAATTTCCGAACATTTCATTTCAAATTTAAAAAATCGCAGCTCTATGATTGCAATTAAAACTAGACGTTAAATGTCACCTGAGTGATCAGTCAATATTACAGCATAAAGTATTCCTGCACCTAATAAAAACTGTATAAATTTAAATAAGAAACTCATTGATTTACGGAAAATGGTAAGTAATAGTAAGCAAGCATGGCTAGAATAAATGCCTTTAATTTTCTTCCAAAAAATTTCAAAGCAACGATGCCGTTGTAAGTTTGAACTGAAGCTAAAAATATTGAACCACAATATATTTCTCCCCGAGGTCATTAAAGTACAGTTTTGATGCCGAGCTCACCATGCTGTTCTCGTTGATGGAGTCTATGCCCATAACAGAGCGGAGCTCACCATGCTGTTCTCGTTGATGGAGTCTTTGCCCATAACAGTGCCGAGCTCACCATGCTGTTCTCGTTGATGGAGTCTATTCGTGCTCACCATGCTGTTCTCGTTGATGGAGTCTATGCCCATAACAGTGACGTGGAAGAAGACTTGCGTAGGCCTGCCGTTCTTGCGAGGTGGCCGCATCTTGTCGTAGCTTCGCGCGTCCTCTGGCAGGAGGTCGGCAAGTTTCAGCTTCCCAGCTCCGTAGTCGCCACGAACTGACGCTAAACTGCTGTCAAAATGTCAGTAAATGATATAAATAATATAAATATTATTATTAAATTTCAGTAAATAATAATAATATAAATCTCAGTAAATAATATAATCAGCCATTAATCGTGCACATCTCCCATTAAAGTCATTTGTATTGTGAAGTATCCGTGCTGCTTAAAATGAATCTAAATGCTGAAATTATGGAAACAGCTTATTTTGAATCAGTTGCATCCGGAATTTTTAGACCGGATTCGTGTAATGTTGATCGTTTTTGCTGCTTCATTGCTACATTTTGGTATCTGCAGTAACTGAAAGATGTCGAAATTAAACTACAGCTGTAAAAGTTGAATAACGGCAATTGAATATTTATACATTGAATGAGGACTTGATCGGGTTTTCATGTATTAATAAATAATGTAGGCTTCAATAAGTAGAAATTCTCTACAACATCCAACATTATTTAACCACATCATTTTACATTATTTAACTCAACAAGTATCGTTACAAGACTAACATCAGACACGATACCGAACTTCATTTCATGCAAAATAGAGTTGAAAATTTTTACGATCACTGAAACCAAAATGCCTTAATTATCCTGAAAACTGTGATACTAACAGTATTTCCATGTTATTTCCAATCCAGAATAAATAGTTTGCGAAAGCGAATAATATAACAGAACAATTTTTAGGAGGATAAAAAAAGCTATCTCTGTAGACACAAAAAATAAAAAAAAAAAAACAACGTGCAAAATCGAATTACTGACGGAAAATTGCATTCAACATCAAATGATTCCAAAGTTTTCCAGAATAATCCCATCTTGCTGATCATAAACGGCAGACACGAGGAAAACTTCGGAATTAAGTTCTTGAAATACGACAGATCGATCAGCAATGAATCTTGTCAGTGCCAGCAGCTCCAACTTGCCACAGAACCTATCACTGGTATTAACGTTTGCTTTGTTGGTCAAGGGATTTAGATTAGTTAATAAAGTAAAAGGCTCGAGGCGATGGCTAGCTGTGCTGTATTTCAAGACTTACACTTGCGTTCAGAATGATGTAAAGACAAATAGAATTGATGTGAGCAGAAATTCAGAATGATCGTTGAGAAATATGATATGATGTGATAGATGCCAACATATAGTTGGCATCTAGATGCCAGATGATCAACTGCAAATTTAAAATGATTTAACAAGATCATCAATCATATACATTTTTTAGACGATCATGAGCCTTTCCAATTAATTATCCTTAAAAATTTCATGTCTGCTGTCCGAGAAATATTTGCTCACGTAAATTAGCACTAATAATGTACTTACGTCCCATTTTCAAGCTCAATTTGATCAAACACAATTTCTATTGTATTATTTGCAAGCAAATTAGTAATAAATCTTCTAAGTGGTCTTCTCAACATCAGTTATTTCCTACTTGTTTCAGTAAAAACATCTAGGTAGAGCACGCAAATAGGTTTTATCCTACAAATTTCTCGATGTCATCAAATGATGTTAACATGAAACTACGAGTTTATATGGATACCGTGAACCTCTTTATACATTTTTTTCATTTTGGAACAATATTACAGACTAATTTATGATTGTTCTTCTTCGAATGCTCATAGCCTCTTATCCCGACCGTGGACCGCAGTTGTGGTAGAATTATAGCGTCTAACGAGACGATGCTTCTCCATTGTATGTCCTATATTACAGCATAAACGGCCCATCAATGCTGATGGTTATTACTCATGGTTGAATTAATACATTAATTCAGCCATGGTTATTACTGACCTGGACAAGACGAAGCATAAGATGAAAGCCGTCGAGCAGGAAAACACGCTCATCTTGACAAGGTTTTAGTCATTCAACTTGAGATCGTGGATACACTTAATTGTCGCTCACTGATGCCCTGCTGTACATAATTGCTGCTGACGAATTATCTCTAAAGTAAATCAAATTTTCATTGCGTACTGATTCAAAATCGTGTAAAATTTCGAGAGTTTTACCTTCCAGAAATCAGCGTATTTCCTAAAAAATGCAAATCAATATTCTTAGCTCAAACATCAGATGGCTCTGATATCTAAAGTCTAAAACAAAGCTTGGAGGCAGCTGCTTTAAATGAAAATCACGGTAATGTGCACTTTAGAGATTTTCAGCGATTCCTGGAAAAAATATTTCATGAATTATATTAATATTGTATGCAAGTATAAGCAATTATATTGTAAAATTACCATCAATTAATAACCAGTAAGAAAGCTTTTTAGGTAGATAGAACGCAATATTCACGATTGGGCAGAAGTATTATGGAAAGAAATCCAAAAGATCAATATGGAACTTCAGAAGGGTTAGAAGACGGCCAACGAACTCGAGTATTTTCTTAGTAAAGTTTCAATAAAGACTGACCAGCAGCCAGTGAAAGGCCAAGCAGTGAAGAACTAATGAAAACGTCCTATTATAGATTAACAACAGTAACAGTATATGTACTAAAGAAATTAACAGATCTCGTAAGAAGTTCATTCGCTAAGAGTGTTTGAATCCAATTGTGAGATCTTCTTCATGATTCATTGGATACTCCATTATTGGAGAAAATTAAATAAAGTGAAACTTTGGGCCGTGAATTGGAAGAAAAGCTGATTATTTGATAATGACTCGGCCGGCAAACTATGAATAATAATGTTCGATATTACAAATGTCTTATGTAATAGAAAAGTAAGTAGAAGCGAAAAAACGCAGGAATAGAGATCAAGCTGTATGTTGGGTCTACATTATCTTTTCTTAATGTATGAATGTGTTTATAATCAAGCGGACTGGATAGCTCAAAAAAGATCGCTCGACTGTCACTTGATCCTCTCGACCACCTCACGGGCCTCGTCGAGTGTTGACAGTACACACTCCCGCTCACCTCAGCAACCCTAATGGGCGGCTTTGTAAGAACAAAAAGTATAACTCAGTTCTCACTGCAGTGAGTGACAGAGAGCGCATTTTCTCGTCGACGAAAACGTGAAGTCACGGACGGACAGACGGACGGGCATGGCGAGCACAATAGTGCATTTTTTCCAATAACGAGAAAATGCGCTGAAAAGGGGGTAAAACTTCTTCTAGTTATACTGGAAATTTCATGGCTGGAAGCGAGATTCTTTGTCCTCACTTGTGAATCGTTTTCATAAAAGAAACACCCTCAGGAAAAAACTATTCTCATCCTCATGCACGCCTCAAATTATATCGAAATAGATGGTAAAATTCTTAATATAGGTAAGTTTTTTTCATCACGCCTCTCTCTGCAGGTTTGGCTCTTAAAAACGAATAGAGCCAAATTGTTCGAGCTACTTAATTTTTAGATTAATCTTTAAATGTATGATAGTATCCATTCATTCATGAATTGATTATATAATTATTTACGTGAAGCCGAGACATTCCCTTTAAAAATGCATGTGGCGCAAAATTGAAGTCTCTTCAAACTTGACTCACAATTAAAAAAAGATGTTTTTGATTTTTTCGTAAACTGGCTGTGGCAGCATCGGGGTGCCCAAGGCACAAGAAAACTCGGAAGATTGCCAAGAAGTCGAATCATGGCACCATCCCTTCCTAATTGAATGAAAAATGTAACGCTAGTAAAATCGCTCCTTAATTCCTCGTATTTACACTTTTATTGTCAGCGCCTGACTTAAGAGCTCGTCATCGCAGCAGCACGAAAGCCTTTGTCTGTACTGGAGCAAAAAACGGTCGTCTGTGTGCGCAGAGATGTTGAGGCGCGAGATGAGAAACTCGAAAGAAACAAAACGGCAAGAAACGAACGATGTTCCGATGCTCGACCGCAAACATCAGAGGAAAATTTTCTTGATTGATGATTCTGCGGTGTAAATTAGTTCATCGAACAGATATTTCTGAATTTATGATAAGAGAAATCAAAACTACTGATTTTACAACAAATATGAGTGCTAAAATATTGCATATACATATTTTTTAAGCATAGCTTTAATGCATTTCTGCGACCGTTCCATAGTAGAATTTTATTTTTTAGAAAATAATAGAAAATTATAGACCTATTCATGACAACTTTTGTATTATGACCTGGCTGAAATTTTACGCTTAGCAACGAGCAAATCATGCAGATAATGGCTTATTTAAAAATTAACATTTTAAAATCAATTAAAAAACAAGTACATAAAATTTAATCCATGTTGAATAGAGGAAAATATGATCCACTCGCCTCAGCGCTACCCTCCTGTGAAACAACATTATTGGCTGTGACTCGTGTGAAGATTTTAATGCAAATATGAATGAAGAGCTATAAATGGAGCAATTATATTAAGCGCAAAGAAATGCGTTAAAATGACATCGAAACAACTTGTAGCTTACTGATTTTTTTTAGACTTTCTGACGTTTCAAACCATTTAATAATAATTTCGTGTAATGCTAATTTAACTCGCATATACAACTTTCTAATGAATTATTCAGAACTAATTTAAGATGAACACACTTGCCTCAATATAGCAATCTCAACATAATTTTGAATGAATTTATTTTTACCTTATAATACGAAAGGTCTTTACTGATATTAAAATTGTTGCCTACACTATTTAAATTGGATGGAAATCAAACCAACACGATTATTAGAAGGATTTACCATAAATTTTTTTCATCTTAAATTTTTCTTGAGTTCAAGTAGCCACCCTTTGGAAAGAATGCCGAAGAACGGTTAAAGGATCAGATCAGATGCAACTTTACTCAGCGCAAAAAAAAGTGGTCCAAGAAAAGGGCTGAAACATCTCTGCTCAGCACTGAAAGTAAAGAAATTGTGCCAAAGAAAATCAAGGCGCATCAGAATGATAGCGAAGATGGTTCGCCATAAACCAGGGCTCCCCAGTTGCCGAATATTGGGCCCACTTCTTCACAGATTGGGACACAACCTTCATTATTGAGGGATTGCCTGGGAGGGCTGAAGGCAAATTTAGTTTGCTCTAAAATTACCAAATATTTACCCGGTGTAAATAATTCGGTTACTCGACACGGCAACAAGTGATTTTCATAATATGAATACTATTGAAAATAAAAATTAACTGCATTAATTTGAAATTAAATCAAAATATATTCGTTTTATTGTCATAATAACATTTTAGAAATCTCAATGCTTCTGAGAATGTGATCAAAACAACTATGGATAGGCTCATTTTTCATTTTCGAGCTAACAGAACAGTTCGAAAAGTTAAAAGATAGAGACATAAAACACTTATTGATCGAATAATTTAGGTGTGTATATTTTTATACCAGCAGTCGTCGTCAATTTAAAATTCTGTTTTTCACAGATCGGTACACGTGCATAGAAGCAAAACGAAATTTTCATGAAATGAATGGAAGCAGAGGCTCAATACTAATCAACTTCTATTCGCTGATGTGATTAAGATCTGTGATTTACAATCACTGAAGAATGTCTGTTTTAAATATACCATTCCTGGCATTTTACTATCGTAAACGGCCACACATCTCACCATATCAGCTTCCATCCACATAGTAAATGGGCAGGTTTTGTCTGATTTATCGGCCATATAAATTTCATTAAACCATATATAAACATAGGACATCTAATGCGTCCGTTTTGAGCCTGTAAAAACCAAAAACTCTAAAGATTTAAAAAACAAAAAACAACTGACAAATAGCATCTCATAAATATTATTGCAAACTAACCATTTTTTCTTATAGTAAGTATTGCGAATACGAGCCAACAAAAGAAAATTTAAAACCAAAAATCCCAGCACTGCATTATTAGGTAACATCTCAATATATAGAAAAGTTCTCACTACGTATTTGTCATTTTCTACTGTGAACGGAATATCTGAGTAGCGATCGTTTTCTTCTTTGTAAAGACTTGAACTTTGCTTCCGCCAGCCACTCATGAGTGAGTCCGGCACCTTCAAACATCAAGGCTTTCGAGATGCCTTTTTGAATTCAAATGCAAACGAGCTTTGCACAAAATATAAAAGATATTTGTGCATTTAACATGACATCTTTTGAATATTTTAGCATTACTTTGCATTTTTAGGCGCATTTTCTCATTTATGAAAAAATGTCCTATTGTGCTCGCCATGTCCGTCCGTCTGTCCGTCCGTCTGTCTGTCTGTCCGTCTGTCTGTATGTCTGTCTGTCCGTCTGTCTGTCTGTCTGTCCGTCCGTGACTTCACGTTTTCGTCGGCGAGAAAATGCGCTCTCTGTCACTCACTGCAGTCAGTACTGAGTTATATTTTTTTTCTGATTCTTCAAGCAGACGTGTAGAAAGTTTCCGTTTATATATGCACTATCAATAATTATTATTTCTAATTTGAAGGATTGCAGAGGCCCAAATCATAATGTTTTTCCGCATGACAGGAATTAATTTAATTTTATTAGAAAATGAAAAGCAGCTTAAGAAGAGGAAGAAATTTTCATATTGAATTGATAAACTGAAACATCGAAATGTTGATTTGAATTCGAGACAAACATGTACATTTGACTATGAATAATAGATTTTAATTTCAAACTAATTTTACTAATATTAAATATCTTCCAATATCTTCTAGATATTTAGTACTATACATATCTCTCATTTTAAAATATTCACGAAACCCAATGAATTTAATAATTAAATTTAGCTGTGAACATGGTGAACATCTTGAAAAGGAAAATTGGAGTCTGTACCCATAACAGTGACGTGCTCACCATGCTGTTCTCGTTGATGGAGTCTACACCGATAACAGTGCCGAGGATATATATCTCTATCTTTCCGTTATCTTGAAAAGTAAAATTTCAAAAAGGAAATCAAAACAATCGAAAAAATCATCAAATTCTTGTAATGCACTATTCGGCTCAAATTTGGAACTTGCATTAGAAGAAATTCCGTCACAAGAACTTCTCGTTATCCCAATAGTTGTGTCGTGTACATTTATTGCAGTCCTGGAAGTTTGGCCGCAATTGAGCCTCTGAACATTCTTGAATACTTGCCAGCGGCGGAAGCATAGCAAATAACAAACCATCCTGGCTTCCGGAGCTCTTCAGTAACATGGAGGCTTTCTGTTAGTTCTTATGGACCTAAAATAATTCCAGGCTTAAGTCTATGAACTGAAATAAATTTATTATTAAGGATTTTCTTGAAACACTGAATAAGCAAACAGCGTAT